CCATATCATTCAATAAAATTATTGGCATACATCATCTGGATCTGTATTTTGATCTCTTTGTACTGTCCATGTAAAACTCTACACTAACTTTACCTAACATGCCATTGTAGAAGTTAGCCCAGTAATGAGTATCACCAACATTAAATATTCATTGGGTATCTCATGTGTACAGGACTGCACTAGGTGAAAAAGGATAGGAAAAAAAAAAAAAAACAACCTCTCTCCTCAAAGAAATGACAATCCACTTTCTTAAAAATGGATGTACACAAAGGATATGTACAAAGAAACGTGGTAAAATGCCCACTGAAAAAGATATGCTTCTCTAGGGGTTTCAGGCTGGCTCAGTCAGAAGAGCATGAAACTCTTGATCTCAGGGTTGTGAGTTCAAGCCCTACGTGGGATGTAGAGATTACTTGAATAAAATAAAACTTAAAAAAAAAAGGTATGCTTCTCTCAACTTGCTACTGTGTCACCTTAGAGAAGTTATTCAACTTCTCTGAACCTCAGTTTCTCTGTAACGTAGAGACAATACCTCAAAGGAAAGTTGCAAAAGCTGAGATATTTGTAAAGGACTCTGCACATAGTAAAAGCTCAGTAAAAGGTGATTGCTTTTATTTATTAATATTATTATGATACAGGGCACCTGGGTGGCTCAGTCAGTTGACCGTTGGGCTCTTGATTTTGGCTCAGGTCATGATCTCAGGGTCATGGGATTGAGCCCTGAGTTGGGCTCCAGGCTCAGTGTGGAGTCAGATTGTCCCTCTCCCTCTGCTCCTTGCCCCCCCCACCAATAAATAAACAAAAATTTTTAAAAATATATTAAGAGAAATCCTGAATAAACTCCTACATTAAATTTGTTTCAAATAGATGTATAAACAAAATATCTTGTATCTTATTTTTTCAACACTATTCTTTCTAGTGAAGAAAAACAAGTAATCCTGATCAAATGCTTAATCAAGTCATTAATGAGCCATTTCTAAAGGAATTATTTCAGTATAAAAATATAATTAAAATTCCTTTACCACTAAGAAATTTAAGGATTTATAAGAACATGTATTTTCTGATACTTACTTAACATGGCTTGCCTATTCTGTTGAAACATCTAAATGTTAAAAATAATTTCATCACATTTCATGGTCATTTATGTTTCTAACACAGAGAGTAACTCAAGAACAGCATTAGGATCATAAAAGAGATCTTAGCAAAATTCTAGTTCAATCTTTTTTTTGAAATAAGAACTTACGCATCTCATTAACATTACAATTCTGAATTCATTTTAGAAGTGAATTTTAACAATTTCTCAGGGAGGCAAGCACATGAAAATGTATTTGTTTGTTCATTGCTATTTTACCTTCATTTCTTTCTTCTGTTCTTCCTTCCCTTTTTTTTTTTAATGGGAGTATCAACACGTTACATTATTTTCAGGTGAACAACATAGTGAATCAACATGTCTATACCTTATGCTATGCTCACCACAAGCACAGCTACCATCTGTGTGTCAAGTAATTTTTTTTAAAGATTTTATTTATTTTAGAGAGAGAGAGAGAGATCACAAGCAGGGGGAGTGGCAGAGGCAGAGGGAGAAGCTGGCTCCCGGATGAGCAGAGAGCCCGATGCGGGGCTCGATCCCAGGACCCTGCGTACTTTATACTCAGTTTGTAGGTGGGGAAATCTATAAGCAGTAAAACTTACAACCGTTAAAAATATTCACGAAGAAAAAGTAACTAAAGCTAGGCTAACAACTACATGTATTATCTCACTTAATGCTCATCCCAGCCCGAGGTAGGTGTTATTTTCCCAATCTACAAATGAGGAAACTGAGGCACTAAGTGGTTATGTAACTTCCAAAGTCCTGCAGCTAGGATTCAGCAGAATCCAGACCAGGTTGCCTGATTTCAGAGCCTGCACTCTCAACCTCTACATATCCTACTACTTAAAAGTAATTTTCTTAAATATCCATGAGTCTGACATAAACAAATGATTGAATAAATTAAAAAATGGGGGGGAGAGTACAGCTCTTTTTTACAGAGGAATTCCAAACAATAACTGCAGAAGAAATGAGAAAAATAATTACCATCAGGTAAACACCAATGGTTGCAGGCAAGACCCATCAATGGATTCCAGTTAAAATCAGTAGGTATAACAAGTACGATGAAGAAATAGGACATTTGCAGCACATCACGGAATCTCTCCCTGTGATATTTTTATTTATTTTTGCTTTAGGTATACATTTTTTCATTGAAGTATAATTAACATACAATGTTGCATTAGTTTCAGGTGTACAACATATTGATTCAACAATTCTATACATTCCTCAACCCTCATAACGGTAAGAATCACCATCTGTCACCATATTAACATTATTACGATATTGTTTACTACATTCTTTATGCTATACTTTTCATCTCCGTGACTTGTTTATTTTATAACTGGAAGTTTTCACCTCTTAATCCCCTTTATCTATTTTCATATATTAATTACAAGGAGAAAAATAATTTTACAGTGGAGAAACCCGCAGACACCACCTAACCAAGTGATCAAAGTTAATATCACCATCAGAAAGATGAAACCACCCAAACTAATGAATGTGCAGACAGAACCCTTCATGCAAATAATTTTTACTTAATGGTTTAAAGCAATTCATTATTTTTGCTACCAGAAAGTTCAGTATTAAACCACCAACTGTGACAAAAGCTTAAACTGTTTGATTTGAGGTTGGGTAATCACTAAGCCTCTGAAGGAACTTGAAGCATATTTTTCCTAAGTTTTACCTCTGTGAAAAATGTATGGTTTACAAATTATGAAGGAGCAGCCCAATTCTTCCCATCGACACTTCTATTATATAGTAATGCAAGATAAACATATTATAGAAATACTCAGAAACTGTAGTTTACAGATTCTGAAATTGATTATATTTTAAGATTTTCTTGTCAAAGAGGAATAAAATGTCGTATGTAAAAAATAAGCTAAAAGATATATCTACCTTTTGATTTTTTAAAAAAAGATTTTATTTATTTATTTGCCAGAGAGAAAGAGCACGCTCAAGCAGGGCGAGCGGCAGGCAGAGGGAGAAGCAGGCTCCCCGCTGAGCGAGGAGCTGGACATGGGACTTGATTCCAGGACTCCAAGATCATGACCTGAGCCAAAGGCAGACGCTTAACCAACTGAGCCACCCAGGTTTCCGTACCTTTTGATTTTAAATAATTAAAGCAGAGGGGCACCTGGGTGGCTCAGTTGGTTCAAGCGTGGGCCTTTGGCTCAGGTCATGATCCTAGGGCCCTGAGAGAGAGCCCTTGACGTGGGCTCCCTGCTCAGCTGGGAGCCTGCTTCTCCTTCCCCCACTCCTAGCCCACTCGTGCTCTCTCTCACTCTCTCTCAAATAAATAAAATCTTTAAAAATAAACAAATAAGGTTGCTATTTACTGAGCACTTAGTATGTGCCAGGCACATTTTTTCTGCACAATATTTCATTTAATTCTCACAATAGGCTTGCAAACTTTAGGATTATCACAGCATTCTTTAAATTATAACTATTTTGTACAGAATGTTTACATTCTGCATCTTATCAAGGTACAAAATATCACTGCCACTGACATCAATGGAACTTCATGGGCAATGGAATGAATTACTAAGCCTTGTCAAAATAGGCATTTTCCTTCTACTCTAAAATGTTATAATTGTCAAGCTATAAATAAAAGTATTATTTACATATTGATTACTGTCTAAAAAAACCCAAATTTCATAGAAAAGACTTTCCTTGTTTTTTCTAAAAAATGCATAAAGTGGAAAACAATCTTATACTGAAGTCTAAATTATAGGTAAAAGATAACCAAGTGTCACAGGAGAGTGGAGGTGAATTTTCAAATATTGATAACTTACAGGATTTGCAGGTATTTCACTGGTTCGTTGTTTTCTATATTTTAAACTAATGTATTTTAAATATATTAATATATTTTAAATTTTAAGTAACATTTTAATAATAGAATTTTATATAAATTAGATTTTTCTCATGTGTACCCATTTAAAGTTCACATTTTCATTTTAATATAACTTTTCTTTCAAAACATAATTCAAAAATTGATAAAAAGCCCAATGGGAAGTTTTATTTACACGGTAGAAAGTTGAAAAGAAAATAAACACATTCCTCACAATTTCAGAGGTGACAAAAATCTACGGTATTTCAACTGGCTTCTGAGCTCCCTTAAAGGATCTGATAATTGTATATAAAGTTTTATAAAGTAATCTTAATAGCCAGATTAATGTTAACGTGCTCTGGGTCTAGTTTTAATTGCGTACTTCTTAAAATATAACGAAGGAATGACTTGGTAATTTTGAACCTATTGATTAAAGTGACCCCAACAAACACTGGTCACTATTTTAGTGGAAGTATTTACAAGCAATTATAGTTGCTGATTTCTTGCAGCTGTTTCTTATTATCTTCCTGATTTTTCAATTCCCTAACGTAAAGGTGTGGGAAAACTAACATTTCCCCTCCTTTTCGAGAAATGGCATAAAGGAGAGAAGACCTTCGGGGTATTAAACACAAATGCAGACATTTAGAAGTTGATGGTTTTAAGACTCAATTTTGTGGCTAAATTTTTGTTGTTTCTTAAATCAAAATTTGTGAGTTTTCCCTTAAAATCCCCACGCTGCTTTGCTTTAGCCCCACCAGATACGTGCCCCCTACCCATTTCTGACTAACTGGGCTCCTGCCCAAAGTTTCAGCGCCTCGGGTCCCTCGTAACCGCTCAGCGGGAGCCCGCGGAGTCCAGTCGCCCGGGGCGCCAAACCCGGGGTCCCTCACGCGCCCTGCGAGTCCCCGCTGCCGACTCAGCTCCCCGCCCTCCCGGGGAGCGGATCTGAGGCCGCTCCCAAAACATCCCTCAAGGGCATTCAGAAAACCAATTCGGGCCTCACTTTGCAGGAGTACTGTCCTCGCCTTGTCAATGACACGATGAAGCGGGGGAGGACGAATCTCGGCCATTTCTTAGCAAATACCTTCCCGAGCGGCCGGGAGCCATCACGCCAGCTCTCTTCCCTTAATCCTTCACTTGCCACCCAAGAGAGTGTTAATGGCAATAGTGACCACGGCTACACTCTGCAGTTCTTGCCTCCAAGCCAGCCTTATGCCAAGTTCCTCCACGCGGCGAGAGGCTACTCTCTCCCCTAGCCAGCAGGAGAGGCTTTCGGGGGCAGCCGGGGCACCCCGGACCCACGGCCCGCCAGGGTCTGAGTCCAGGCCTCAAACACCTCCCGGCTGGAGGTGGGTAGAGAATCACTTCCGAGCGTTGCGACCAAGGGGGGTCTCAGCCGGACTTTTCCATTCAGCCGGGAGGCTCGGTCGCCCGCTCCGCGCAGCGGAACTACAACTCCCAGCACCGTAGAAGCTGCCCGGACTTCCGGAAGCCAAAGCCCGGCGGGGAGGAAGCCGCTGAGACCCGGCCAAAAGGCCGGGGGTTAATTTAGCAAGAAAAAAGGGGGCGGGAAGGGCTGTAGGGTTAACCTGTCAATTCGCCACCATGAACGTGGTTTTTGCTGTGAAACAGTACGTTTCCAAAATGATAGAGGACAGCGGACCGGGTATGAAAGTACTCCTCATGGATAAAGAGACGGTGAGTTTGCTTTTGCTCGGCATTTGTTTGTGAGGGAACTCTCCCTCATAATAGCTACTCCCAGTCCACTGTAAGATTTAGTATTTAATTAAAGATTTTGAAGTGAGGGTCAGTTCTGTGTGGAACTGAGAGGTGGTATAAAGCTTGTCTAGCAGGTTTTCAGTGCAAATGGCTCTAACTACCACCAGAGCTTTCCTCTACCCGGAACAATTTATTGGAATCAGAAGTCCTTTTCTAAACGCCTTTGCCAAGAAATAATATGTGAGACAGAACATTTGGAAGACTTTTATTTCCAGTCACCGTTGTGTTTTTAAAATAAAGCTGTTAGTGCTCAAGCTGAGGTGACAGATTATTATTTGTTGGTCACAGAATTATTTAAAAAAAAAAACACTTAAGGTGATGGAAAAAAATTCTTTTTGAAATTTATGGATTGTCTGTGTTCAGAGAGAACATGTTTTTCATCCTGGTACATTACCTACATGTTCTGGATGCTCAGTAAATGTTACATATGTTAATATTTACGTTATCCAGCTAAGTATTAATGAAAAAAAATTTAAGTCTTAGTTGTTGCTGCTTGTTTATATTATTTTTGACTAGCATAATATTATTTAAATCTTTTTCTTTACAGACTGGCATAGTGAGTATGGTATACACACAATCAGAGATTCTTCAGAAGGAAGTGTACCTTTTTGAACGCATTGATTCTCAAAATCGAGAGATCATGAAACACCTGAAAGCAATTTGTTTTCTTCGTCCTACGAAGGTACGTACTGAGTTGTCATTTGCCCAGGCAAATACAGAACAATCTGATATGAAAGCATTAAGAAAGCAAAATAAATTTGTATTATCATTTATGGCATCATAATTAACCTGGTTCATCAGAGTTATAACCTTGATTCTCCTGCTTTTCACATCTCAGTTTACTCCTTACAGTTTTTCCTCCAAGATGCCTTTTAGGTTCCCAGCTACTTCCCAAACCACTAACTATCCTAGCAGAGACCCACATCACTTAATTCCTGGATTAACATCCATACCTATCACACTGAACCATTGCGGCTTAATCTTACATACTTATGCATGTACACCAATATCTTGAGTCTGTATCATTTTATTCATATCTATGCACAAGAACATATAATGGCTCAATTTTACTTCCATGATTAAATCAATCTTTAGTAGCCCAGTCCTTAAATCCCTCCTTTAGCTGGTTTGGTCTGCCCTTATGTATCCAGCCTCCTATGTCCAATCTCTCCTTCTCCACTATTGCCAACTGTGCCTTTTTATCATCCCTCGACATGCTCATTCCTCTTCTCTATTCATTCTCTTCTCCTAATTAAAGGTTCTTTAGCCTTCTGTCCATTTTCATCCATCATTTTCTAAATCTAGCTTGAGTCCTCCTATAAAACTCCTATACTATTTCAGCCTTATTTTGTATATTCTCTTTATATTCATGATCTTCAACTCCAGTGCACTCTTTTATCATGCTTGTGTATTATGTATTTTCTAAAATACAAATCTGTTCGTGTCACCTCCACTTGAAATCCTTGAATGACTTCTCATTGTTTTTATGCTAGAGGCAAAACTCCTTAATTGTGGTTCTGTGTGGTCTAGTTCCTGTCATTCCTATGGCCTTATTTCAAACCATTCCCCCTTTTGCTCTTAGCCACATTAATCTTTCAGTTCACTTTGTTCCATCATGCCACAGGACCTTTGCACAGGCGCTTCCCTCTGCTTGGAACTTCTTTACTTCCTCCTGCAAATCTTCCTTGGTTTTGCTGTCCAAGTCAAACCCCCCTCTTATAAGCACCTACAGCACCATCTTCTACCTTTTGCTTGTCGTAGTTGAAGTTTTATATGGTTTGATTAATATCTGTCTCAACTACCAGCAGTAAGCTCCATGAAAGTAGAGATGGTATCTGTTTTTTCACACTATTATGTCTCCAGTGCCTGCTACATGGTGGACCTCAATAAATAGTTCCTGAATTAATGAATACATTAATACTGTGTTATAGTCATTTCCAGTTTTTCACATTTGTAGCTCACGAAAGTTTGGTGCTGAGAGGGATCTTAGAGATCATCTAGTCCATCATTTCCTAATAATTTTCATTAGAGAAATTAGAGAACCCATATATATATATATATATAAAGTGTTCTTAAAAATGATTTTTTAATCATTTCCTGGGTGGCTCAGCCATTCAGCATCTGCCTTCGGCTCAGGTCATGATCCCAGGGTCCTGGGATTGAACCCTGCATCGGGCTCCCTGCTCAGCGGGAAGCCTCCTTCTCCCTCTCACACTCCCCTTGCTTGTGTTCCCTCTCTTGCTGTCTCGCTCGCTGTCAAATAAATAAATAACTAAATCTTTAAAAAAATGGTTTTTCTTTAAGATTATGTTGTAAAGTTAATTTTAATGTATTTTTTAATCTAAATGACAATTTTAAAAACTTTTTTCCCATTTAACAAGCAATATGCATTGCTTATATTATTTTTAGTTCTTTAAGGAAATGTATGATTTTTTTAAATGTTCAAAACTGTATTTCATATCATGTTTACACTGGGGACCAAATTCATATTGAAATTTAACTATGTGTTAATAGTATCAAAAATAGATAAAACCTGCATTATGATCTTATGTAATTGAAATTCTTATGTTTTGACCACATAAAAATCAACTTTTTTTACTTCTAAATTTCATATTTCATTTTTATTTTTTTAAGATTTATTTATTTGAGAGAGAGAAAGTGTGAGTGGGGGGAGGGGCAAAGGGAAAGGGAGAAAGAGAATCCCAAGCACACTCCCCACTGAGTGTGGAGCCTGACCCTGGGCTTGATCCCATGACCCATGAGATCGTGACCTGAGCCAGATGCTTAACTGAATGAGCCACCAAGCGCCCCCATATTTTGTTTTTAAATAATGTAATTATATGAAAGGTCTTAGCCTGCTGTTTCAAATACTTTATAAGCATTACAATTGTGCAGTCTTAGGTACCAATAAGTTAAAAGCCAAAGTGAATACAATTAAGTGTATTTTTTCTTGAATGTTGGTTTTTAAAGAACTAGATACATTTTGATATTTTATCTAAGAATTTTGATTAGATGAATAATTTATAGATAAGCAGCTTGAGGCAAATTTGCAGAATTATTATCAGTTTTATGTTGTACTTCAACATTTGTATTTTTAATATTTTTAAATCTTAATTTGGCCAAGGTAATGCAGCTCATTAATATTATAGATGATTCCTGATCATTATATTTAACGTATCTCTTTTTCACCTCCAGCCCTCATCCCCACAACATACACTTAAATCTAGACCTCAGCACTCAGTAGACTCTCAGTAAATACTTAGATAAATCAATTAATGGTATTTATTATTTTTTCACTTAAACAATTCTCACGTATTATTTGTTTATTTGTTGTTTCCTTTCTAGGAGAATGTGGATTATCTGATTCAGGAGCTCCGGAGACCAAAATACAGTATATATTTTATTTGTAAGTGTATTATTTCACTTATTCCGTCATGTAACTGTATCCTAGCTAGTTTATTCTTTTTTTTTTTTTTTGAAGATTTTATTTATTTATTTGACAGAGAGAGACACAGCAAGAGAGGGAGCACAAGCAGGAGAAGTGGAAGAGGGAGAAGCAGGCTTCCCGTGGAGCAGGGAGCCTGATGCGGGGCTTGATCCCAGGACCCTGGGACCATGACCTGAACCGAAGGCAGACGCTTAACAACTGAGCCACCCAGGTGCCCCTAGCTAGTTTGTTCTCTTGGACACTTCATATCATCAATAAGTTAACTGAATCAGTCACTATACGAGTCTGATTTTTTTATGTCCTTTCAAAGTATTAAAAGTCTTATGATCAGGGGCGCCTGGATCGCTCAGTTTGTTAAGCGTCTGCCTTCAGCTTGGTCCCAGGGTCCTGGGATCAAGCCCCGCATCAGGCTCCCTGCTCTGTGGGAAGCCTGCTTCTGCTTCTGCCTCTCCCACTCCCCCTGTTTGTGTTCCCTCTCTCGCTGTGTCTCTCTCTGTCAAATAAATAAATAAATAAATCTTAAAAAAAAAAAAAAGTCTTATGACCAAGCAATGTTCTATTTTAGAGAGCTAAGTGGGATTTTCTGTATCATTGATGGATTAGGTAAAAATTACTTTTTAAGTTTTACTTTGCCTATCAAGATTCTTTATAAGTCAAAAATTACAAGTAGCCAAATTTCACATCCCACCTGTGCAAAACAAAACAAAAGGTGTATACTTACTCCTATTTTATACTTTTATGAACTGAGGCATAGAAGCTGATTTCTTTACTTGGAGGAGGATATGCTTGAGTTTGTGGGAAAAGCAGAGATTTACTTTACATACCACATGAAAACATTCCATTTCTCTTTGCTACTTTATGTAATGCTTGAAAGTACAAATCATCCAATAGGTATCTCTTATGTACCTAACTTTTTGGGGGCATGGGGGAGGGCAGAGTTCTGGAAATAAACTAGGTTTGTGGTTACTATACATTTTATATGACTTTTTTTTAAAGATTTTATTTATTGAGAGAGAGAGAAATAGCAAAATAGCATGAGAGGGGAGAAGGTCAGAGGGAGAAGCAGGCTCCCCGGTTTTTGATGTAATACATTCTGCTTTGGAAGTTACATCCATTCTCCTCTAGATGTCATTATTGATCTTTATGGGATTAGTAAGTCTAGTTTATTTGGTGCCATTTCCAAAACCAAGGACAAACCTTAACTCTCAGTATGTAGGGCATTTGCGAAATTTTAAAGCTTACTTGAAGGCTTTGGAGTTTTAGGGTTTAGATTATACTCCAAGATATACATACTTTCTACACTATATGCTACAATTAAATAATGGTACCAAAAATTAACATTTGTAATAAGGTATTTTATAAAGAACTTTCTCATATATTATTTCATTTAGCCCTTACAACAACCTCAAGAGGTAAAAATTGGCAATTTTATTTATTTTGTTTGGGTTTTTTTCCTTTTGGCTATAGTCACAGGTTTTCTTTTATAATTTAACTTTTTATTTTGAGACAATTGTAGATTCACATATACTTGTAAGAAATAATACAGAGATGGGGCGCCTGGGTGGCTCAGATGGTTGGGTGTCTGCCTTCAGCTCAGGTCATCATCCCAGGGTCCTGGGATCGAGCCCCGCATCGAGCCCCGCATCGGGCTCCCTGCTCGGTCGGAACCTGCTTCTCCCTCTCCCTCTGCCTGCCTCTTCCCCTGCTTGGACATTCTCTCTCTCTGTCAAAAATAAATAAAATCTTTAAAAAAAAAAAATAATACACAGATCCCATTTATTAAACCCATTTCCCCCAGTGTAGCATCTCACATAACTAATAGTACAATACCACATCCAGGATATTGACACTGATACAGTTAGGATACAAAACATTTTCATCTCCATAAGGATCTCACATATTGCCCTTTTATACCAGATCCACTTCCCTCCCACCCAACCCCCTTATTAACCTCTGGCAACCACTAATCTGTCCTCTGTTTCTATAATTTTGTCATTTCAAAAATGTTACATAAATGGAATTATACAGTATATAACCCATTGGGATTGGCTTTTTTCACTCAGCATTCTTTAGAGATTCATCCAGGTTATGGCATATATCAGTAGTTCATTCCTTTTTATTACTGAGTAGTATTCCATGTTATGGATATACCACAATTTGTTTAACTACCCGTTGGAGGATATCTGAGTTATTTTCAGTTTTGGCCACTACAAATGAAGCTGTTATAAACATTTGTGTGTAAGTTTTCGTGTGAACATGAGCCTTTATTTCTCTGTAGTAAATAATGTCCAGGAGAGCAATTGCTGGGTCATATGGTAGTTCCATGTTTAGTGTTTCAAGAAGCTGCTAAATGTTTTCTAGAGTGACCATACCATTTTACTTTCCACTAGCATTGTACAGGTGATCAGTTTCTTTGTATCCTTATGAGCATTTGGTGTTGCCCTTATTTTTTGTTTTAGCCGTTCTGATAAGTGTGTAGTCATTACAGTATTTTTAGTCTGATCACAAGTTAGGTACTTAGGAAAGTGTAGAAACTTTTACTTAGTGACATATGTATGTGTGTGTGTAGGAATATATGAGAGATTCCCTGTGCTGTCGAATTTAAGTAGACATAATGGAATCACTTCTTATGCTGAGTCTCTCATTTAAAAATTGAGTAGGTCATGAGATGAAAGACTCCTTTTTCCTCTAAAGAGAGTTCTTTGAGGCAGCACTTGAGATTAGTAACCAATAATCTAATGTCTATTCTTCTGGTTCTAAAGGTTGTTTGATTTGCACTGTGATTCTATGAAGTAGAAGAAAAAAATGATATATATTAAAGTAGCACTAAAGCCTAGGAAAAATAGACTCTTGGAACTCGGGTAAAGCAATCAATTTCACAATTTTATTTGATTAAAATAAACTAAATGAGTTTGTATGTAGTGATTTTATCCATTACAAATTTTCAGCACAATTTATATCAACACTAAACACTCCTTCTGCTCATCTCATTTTTTTATAATTTTATTTTTGTATTTTTATGTCTACTAAATATATTGTATAATAGGCTCCAAAAACTTCTGTTATGGAAGTTTTCAAATATATACAAATAGTATCATAAATCCCAGTGTACCCATCACCCAGTTGCAAAGGTTGCTTTGCCATGGCCTATCTTGTTTTAGCTATACTGCCACCCACTCCCCCACCAGTGTTATTTTGAAGGAGATCTAAGGCGTCATATGAGTTCAGCCCTAAATATTTAAGTGTGCATCTCTAAAAGATAAGGACACATTTTATAAAATAACCATTATTATAAAAAATAAAATAAAATACCATTATTATACATATCCAAATAATGAAAAATAATTCCTATTTTCAAATACTCCGTGTTCAAATTTCAAATTCTCTTATGGTTTTGTTTTGTTTTTTTCTCACTGTTTTTGTATTTGAATTATGATCATAATAAGATCCACACAAGCTGCTGATTGATATGTTGTTTAAGTTCCTTCAATCTTCTATAGGTGTTTTCTCTCTCTCTCTCTCGATCTCTCTCTCTCTCCAGTGCAATTTATTTATTGAAGGAACTATATCGTTTTGTTAAAATTCCTCACAAGTCTGCATCTTGCTGATTGCATCCCGATAGGGTAGTTTAACATATTCTTTGCAGTTTAAAATTTCCTGGGGCGCCTTGGTGGTGCAGTTAAGCATTGACTCTTGGTTTTACTTGCTTTTTCTTTATATTTTTACCACCTAAACATGGGCCCTAAAAACAATCATTTAGGGTTTTTTGGTTGTTGGTTTTTTAAGATTTTATTTATTTATTTGAAAGAGAGCAAACACACAAGCAGGGGGAGCGTCAGGGAGAGGGAGAAGCACACTCCCCGCTGAGCAGGGAGCCCAATACGGGCCTCCGTCCCAGGCCCCTGGGATCATGACCTGAGCCAAAGGCAGACACTTAACCAACTCAGCCACCCAGGTGACCCACTAAAAATTTGTTCTTAAAAATTATTTTTTTCTTGGGGCGCCTGGGTGGCTCAGCCGTTAAGCATCTGACTTTGGCTCAGGTCATGATCTCAGGATCATGGGATCAACCCCCCCCCACCCGGTCAGGCTCTGTGCTCAGTGTGGAGTCTGCTTGAGATTCTCTCAGCCTCTCCCTGTGCCCCAACCCACATTAGTGGTTGATAAAAATGATGATGTTTTAATTCTATCATGATCATTCCTTCTTTGTTTTTTTAGCTGGAATATTTCCATAAAGAGAAATTTCTTCTCATCTACTATTTGGTTATCTGTGGAACAGTTTGTATATAGAAGAATAAAAACTCACTTCTTTCCCTTTACTTGCTATTTTCAGCATAATGACTTGGTTCCCTGGCATCCTCCAATGCCTACATGGTGATCTTTTTTTTAAGTATTATTATGAATTTATGGATTTAAATATATTTGTACTACTCATTTCAGCTTGAAGGTGTTTGACTTTGACATATACCACAGTGTATACCAAACTTCGCTTAGTCATTAGGCTCTTTTATGTCTAATTGCAGCAAAAGTGATCTCATTTGAGTCAGCCACAACTCATAATGTCTATTTCAGATTTCAGTAATGTGATCAGCAAGAGTGATGTGAAGTCATTAGCTGAAGCTGATGAACAGGAAGTTGTGGCTGAGGTTCAGGTAAACATATTGGTCCTCTAACACATCTCCTATATTGGCCCGTTTTAAAGATTTGAGTCTAACAATATGAAAGATACTGTCTCGAAGGGAGGCTATTGATCAGACATTGTAAATGTGCATTCCACCAAACTATCTATACTCATACTTAAAAAGTTTGTAAGAGGTATCAAATTGGGTGGGAACAGAATTAAAGGAGTCAGTGGGAATAAGGAGATTGGACTGGTACTGAATCCTACTGAATGAATAGGGAGGGTTTCACAGGGTTGGGAACAGAGTGAGATATATTCTATGCTAGTTTTATGAACCACATTATAAGAATGTTCATCTACAGGGCTATGTGTGACTGGAAAAGAATAGGAAGTAAAGGATGTGAATGAGGTTTGTTAAAGTTCTGTTTGTGATTATCTTGCTCTGGGAGGTAAAAAGTAGACTTTTGTCATTAGGTTAAAACTTGATAACTCCTGAATATTCTGCATGCTATATAATACATCACATCAGAACATGTCATGTTACCTTTTACTTCTTAAACGCTTAAGTGTTCTTGAATACATTTATCACAAATGTTTGAATACATTTATCACCTAAGTGAAGAATAGGGCAGCAAATTAACAAGTTTTGGATTTTCAGAAGGATGTGCTAGGTGATAAATGAATAATAATTTAAAAAATGACCTATTTTTTTATTTTTATTTAAAGATTTTATTCATTTATTTGACAGAGAGAGAGATAGCGACAGCAGGAACACAAGCAGGGGGAGTGGGAGAGGGAGAAGCAGGCTCCCCACAGAGCAGGGAGCCCGATGCGGGACTCGATCCCAGGACCCCGGGATCATGACCTAAGCCAAAGGCAGACGCCCAACGACTGAGCCACCCAGGCACCCAAAAAATGACCTATTTTAAAACATATTCTCCCTCACGAGAATACACTGGACAAAAAAAAAAAATAAAAGAATACACTGGACAGCAAAGTTCTTTTTCATCTCTGTGTAACATTCTATATCCTATAGCAGTGTCTTATTTTTACTAATTGATAAGTGTACACAGAGGTCTCCAGAAATGTAATATACATACTTCTACATCTTTTTGTTTTTTAAACGATGTTATTATTATTGCTGCTGCTTTATAATTTATTCCTCCACATTGACTATTGCTACTCATTTGATCAATTTTTGTATCTCTTTTACACCTGCCTTTCCTCAAATTTGATTATATCACATAGTATTATATCACATATGAAAATATTACTGTATGATACAGTTGGAATTTATGAAATGACTGACTTATCTTGGTGCTTTGATTGCAGGAATTTTATGGTGATTATATTGCTGTGAATCCACATTTGTTTTCCCTCAATATTTTGGGTTGCTGCCAGGTATGGAAGGAAAGTATAAAAAAATAAGTTTATTTATCAGGTGGGAGTTAATTCAGCAAGTAATGGGACTTGTAAGAAAAAATTCACATATTTTCTCTGAATATTTTTAACAAAAAGGGTCGAAATTGGGGTCCAGCCCAGCTATCCAGAACAACTCAAGGACTGACAGCTCTCCTTTTATCTCTGAAGAAATGTCCCATGATTCGCTACCAGCTTTCATCAGAAGCAGCAAAAAGACTTGCAGAATGTGTTAAGGTATGGCTTTCCCTATCCCCAGTTCCAAAGCATCAAGACCATCCATTTCCTTACATATTTCAGGAACTATAGCAATATTTTTTCTATAACCAAGGAGGTGATGTGTTAGGTTTACTGGCAAAGAGGTAGATCTTTGTAATAAAAAATCAAAAGCAACAAATTAGGGCTAAAATTTTTAGGCTTAACTCAAGAAACATTTGCAAGCTAAATAAGTTAAATACTTATTTTGATCCAATTAAGCCATTTGTAAAATAGAGTTTTAAATCCTAACCTCTTAAACAGGATGCTACCAAACTTTGTCAAGCCTTTAATCCTTTTCGGAAGGCTTATGAAGGTGCAAAGAATTGTTGTTAAATGTGTTTTTTATGTATTAATTTTCTGTTTATGTCATCTCTGTCTGCAACTAATTGGTTGACCAAACCATCTTTCTCTCACATCCACAGCAGGTAATAACTAAAGAATATGAACTGTTTGAATTCCGGCGGACTGAGGTGCCTCCATTGCTGCTTATTTTAGACCGTTGCGATGATGCCATCACCCCGTTGCTAAACCAGGTGCAGAACCCTTTATCAGCATAATAGAAGCATGATTTCAAGTGGTATTCATCAAAATGCAGATGTGGAAATGAACAGTGTGGTCCATGTATTTGCCTCTTTATTTTCAGCTTGTTTTTTTTTGTTTTTGTTTTTGCCTTGTATTTCCTGGTGTTTTGGTATCTATTCTTCCAGCCAGTCTTCCTTTGGCTCTTTCTTCTGCCTCATCTTTCCTGTTCCCTTCTGCCACCACCTTCATCCGATCAAGGCAACTTCTAGGTTCTGTAGCTTCTCCTTTTCCAGTATCTATTTGCAATTTTCCATTCTTACTGCCATTACCTTTGTGTAGACCCTAATCTCTTAAAGGAATACTGAAATAGTCATCTGCCGATTCCTCACTTGCATTTTTTATTTCATTTTTTTTATAAGAGATCAAAACTACGCTTTTATGGGGTGCCTGGGTGGCTCAGTTGTTAAGCGTCTGCCTTCGGCTCAGGTCATGATCCCAGGGTCCTGGGATCGAGCCCCACATCGGTCTCCCTGCTCTGCGGGAAGCCTGCTTCTCCCTCTCCCACTCCCCCTGCTTGTGTTCCCTCTCTCTCTGTCAAAAAATAAATTAAAAAAAAAAAAATCTACACTTTTATTTATTTACTTTTCAATAAGTTTAAATCCTTGAGGGTACAGCATCACATGGGTTCTGTGTTCAGAGGCCTTAGCAGGAAGGTTTCTTCAGAATTTGACATGAGTCATGCCACTGTTTCTGAGTATGAGTTACCTTCTCCAGATTACTCTGGTTTTGTTCAGTTTGCCACCAGGAGTCACTGTGTTATTCCTTGCTTTGTACACATGAGCACATCTCTTGCCTAGATAGAACTTAGTTTCATCTTGAGCATGAACACCTTCAATTTTAAGAAGAGCTGTGTGCTCCCTCTGGTTCTGGAGATCCTGCTTATAGCCAGCAAAAAATGGCCTTGAACCACAGCCCTCCAGGCATATTTATCATTTTAGGAGTCCTGTTCCCAGCAGGCCTCCACAGGCTCCAAGATGGCTGAAACACAAAGGCCTTGATTCCCGTCTTTTAATTTCTTTCTCCTCTAATGTATCTCATAGACACAATGTTGTTAAATCACTTTTCCTAAAGCACAGTTCTGATCTTACTACTCCTGACTTAAAAATCTTTATTGGGGGGCGCCTGGGTGGCTCAGTCATTGGGCGTCTGCCTTAGGCTCAGGTCATGATCCTGGGGTCCTGGGATCGAGCCCCACATCAGACTCCCTGCTTGGCAGGAGGCCTGCTTCTCCCTCTCCCACTCCCCCTGCTTGTGTTCCCTCTCTTGCTGTGTCTCTCTCGGTCAAATAAATAAATAAAATCTTAAAAAAAAAAATCTTCATTGGTTCCCATTTGCCTACTGGCTTAGATACAGACTCCTGAACTTGGCATCCAAGAGCCTTCACAACATGAGCCCAACCTTAACCTACAGCTCACTACTGTGCAGATATGCCATGTGGTTTCCGGCCATCATTTTATTCCTCTTGTGACCTCTGTCTAAATGCTGGAATGTTTCGAATACCTTCTCTCCCTGTCTTCACCTAACAACATTCTCCTTTAAAACCACTCTAGGGCACCTGGGTGGCTCAGTCGTTAAGCGTCTGCCTTCGGCTCAGGTCATGGTCTCAGGGTCCTGGGATCGAGTCCCACATTGGGCTCCCTGCTCCGCGGGAGGCCTGCTTCTCCCTCTCCCACTCCCCCTGCTTGTGTTCCTGCTCTCACTGTCTCTGTCACTGTCAAGTAAATAAATAAAATCTTTAAAAAAAAAAAAAACACTCTATAAACATTTTGAAGCCTTTCATTCTTCTAGTCAGACATGTTCTTTTTTCCATTAAATTACTGCAGAACTTTGTATCTCTCTTATGTCTTGTGCTTCATTTGCCATGTTGTACCTTTGATTGTTTTCACACAGTCCTTCAAGGCAGACTCTCTTACCTGTATTTTTCTGCAAGTGTAAGAACGGTACCTTACGGGGGTGCCTGGGTGGCTCAGTTGTTAAGTGTCTGCCTTCGGCTCAGGGCATGATCCCAAGGTCCTGGGATTGAGCCCCCGCATCGGGCTCCCTGCTCCGTGGGAAGCCTGCTTCTCCCTCTCCCACTCCCCCTGCTTGTGTTCCCTCTCCCACTGTGTCTCTCTCTGTCAATAAAGTCTTTAAAAAAAAAAAGAACAGTACTTTACACAAATAGAGGCTTTATTAATAGTGACTTTTAATTCGTAGGGGAAGACATAGTTTATATTTCAGTTTCTTCCCAGCTTATAATCATGTTAATGCTAGGAGAAATCTGTGGAGTGCAGCTTCTGTATAATAGGATAGCCTTATATTCCTAAAATACAAAGTAATATCTGTTCACTAAAGAAGTTTTGATAATATAAAAAAGTAGAAAGAAAAATGATTGCCTGTAATTCTGTTACCCAGAGAAAAACAACCATTCATTCAACTAATTTCATTAAAGACCTATTATGTGCCTGCCAGGTATTGTGTTAAGTATTGGTGGGTGGCCCAGTCGGTTCAGTGTCCGACTCATGATCTCAGCTCAGGTCTTGATCTCAGGGTCATGAGTTCAAGCCCTGTGTTGGGCTACATGTTGGGTGTGCAGCCTACTTAAAAAAAAAAAAAAGTATTAGAGGTAAAAGGCTAAAAGATGCAATCTCTGCTCTCAAAGAGTTCATGATCCAATGGGGAGAGAGGTAAACTGATCATTTTAATTATAGAGTAAGTACTAATGGTAGAAGCATGCACAGGATGCTGTCTATGGAAGCATAAATATTTTGTTATACTTATTTTACATGCCCCCACGAAACTTGCTTTTTTTTTTTTTAAGATTTTATTTATTTATTTGAGAAAGAGAGGGAGGGGGAGGGGTCAAGACGGAGAATCTCAAGTGGACACCTTGCTGAGCACAGCCCGACTCTGGGCTCGATCTCACAACTCATGAGATCATGAACTAAGCCAAAACCAAGAGTCAGACAACCAAATGAGCCCCCCAGGTGCCCCTGAAACTTGCTTTTTTAAGGATTCATTTGGCAAGTATTTTAGGAAATGAAGCACCTTCTTTTATAACCTTAAGTTCTTTCTTAATAAATCTAGATTGCTTAAGATGAAGTAAAAGTATATAAATATTTCTAGCATTTAGATTCTAGATTTAGAAACTAATATGCTAGAAAATACTTAGTTTTGTATACTGGACCTATGACTAGAAGGAACCCATTTTCCATAAATGGTGAGAAGGCAGAATTTGGGGTTTCTCCATTCCATTTTCGCCAAATAAGTTCACATTTTGAAGCATAGAGACCAGTCCTTCTTCACAATTCATATTAAGTAAAAATATGAAATAAAATGGATTCAGAGGCAAAGCTTCTGAATATATGTGTTTTGATCAACTCACAAGGTCTGTTTCTGATAATATTAGTGTTCCCAGGATAAATATAGCACCACTCAGATCTGTAAGAACACACTTCTCATGCTGCAGAAAACCACAGAAGCGTACAGGAAATGGTACAGCTTGTAACTGCAGTACCAGTATAGCCCTATCTGTGAAGCCAAAAATATACTCTGAATTCACAGGCAAAAACCGGAGCTAATGATAGACCTAATTTGTTTTCTTTCTATCAGGAATATTAATCTTGCTGCCCTTCTTCCAAAAGTGTAAAATCTAAAAGTATTTTGACTTTTAGTTTAACCAATTACGAGTCTTAATGCTGAGTAGAACACAAAATATTAATAAAACTTGAACTAAATAAAGAACCTCTATGTAAAGAAGACTAGTTGCTAAGAATGTTAACCAGTTTTTGTTTTCCTCAACATTTACTATTTCCATGTTTTGTCAGTTACCAATTTTTTTTGTCATAATTCTTCATTTAGTGGACATATCAGGCCATGGTCCATGAACTACTGGGCATAAACAACAATCGGATTGATCTTTCCAGAGTGCCGGGGATCAGTAAAGACTTAAGAGAGGTGGTCCTATCTGCTGAAAACGATGAATTCTATGCTAACGTAGGTGGTTAAAATTTTTTTAAATTGTTTTTAGTTGTTTTTATTTAAGAAGGCCAGTATTGACTTGTTCGAATTGGGATTTCATGGGGAAGGATGATAGAGCATCCTGTAGATAAACTGCATCTCAAGAGAAGGCAGAAGATTTGGGTTCTGACCCTTTAACAGTTTTTTTTTTTCATAGAAATCACATATTTAGCTTTGTACTTTTAAAATTAGAACCCAATTTATTTACTTCCTTCCCTTCTGTAGCCCTTTGTGAGAATAGTAATGGTATTCATCACCAGTGTCCTGGCCAATGTCCAGATTTGGTCATTATAATGGAATTTTCTTGCTCTTCAATTCTGCCTTCGGGATTCTTTTTCACTTCTTCTTTTAAATAGTCTGAAAGTCAGACTCTGATAGAACTGTGTTTCCAACTTCCTTTTTCACAGAATATGTACCTGAACTTTGCTGAGATTGGTAGCAATATAAAGAATCTCATGGAAGACTTTCAGAAGAAGAAACCAAAAGAACAGCAAAAACTAGAATCAATAGCAGACATGAAGGTAAATTGAACATGTTCATGGATGACTAACATGCAAGACTTTGGAACTATTCATGTAAGCAACATTTCTGGAATATTCTCAGTCTGATTTCTGCCTTGATTTTGTTTGGTTTCAGATAATTTTCTGTACTGTTTCTCTTTAGGAAACAATATAGTGAAAACTTCATAACAAGCCATGTGCTTCTTTCCATTCTTCAGTCACATTTGGACTATTTAAAAAGTCAGTCTACTGACTTGTACCAGTTCTTCTCTTTTTAAACAGAAACAAAATGCCATGGGATTGAAAGTTGTAGATGCCTTAGTCTGGGCAGAACAATTCCTGCTTATTTTTTCCCTTCATGCATGTCTGTCCTTGGTCAAGAAATAACAGAAACCCTGATTGCTGTTTTTCCCATGGCAGGCTTTTGTTGAGAATTACCCACAGTTTAAGAAGATGTCTGGGACTGTATCAAAGCATGTGACAGTGGTTGGAGAGCTGTCTCGGTTGGTCAGTGAGCGGAATCTGCTGGAGGTTTCAGAAGTTGAGCAAGAACTGGCCTGTCAAAATGACCATTCTAGTGCTCTCCAGGTATCTATTCAGTCCAATTTGATGAGCACCTACTATGTGTAAGGCACTGTGCCAGGCAGAGCAAGAGATACAAAGGCAAGTAATCCTTCTTCACCAGCATGGAATTTATAATCTAACAAGGAGTTGAGACAAGAACACAGATTAATTTTATTTAAGATAGATACAAGAACCACAGGAGAAGAATAATGTGCAATAGCAAAGGGTTCAGACAGTTAACTGAGTATTTAGGAGGGCATCCTAGTCTACTAGGAAGAATACTAGACTAAAATCAGAAGATCTGCATTTTAGCCACTTGCCACCTACTGGCTTTGTGACCTGGAGCTGTTGGCTTAATTTCTGAGCCCGTTTCCTCATCTGTAAAATAGGTGTAATTATATTTATCTCACAGTGTTGTAAGGAAGATTTTAAAGATACAATATATATTAAAATGCATTATCTAAGTTTTTTATTATTGAACACCTGCTCTTCGTTCCATGTACATGTAAATGCCTACTACATGTACATTATGCTGTAAGGATCCAGAGGTACAAAGAAGAAAGAGATACCATCCTTTTCCTCAAAGAGCTCCCACTATGTAGTAGGGAAGAAAGAAATTTAAACCAGGAATTACCATGCTATAAGTGCTATTTACTAGAGGTATTTACAAAGGGATATGGAAATACAGAGGAAGGACAACTGTTTCCCCTAAGGATGAAGCTTCTTAAAGAAGAAGATGACATTAGATTTGGGTCTGGACAAATAAGGAGGAGAGCACCAAACAGTAGAAGTGCACCAACCAGAGAGAAGAGGGGAAATTCTTGGCAGAGAGAATGCAGGCATGGAGATGTGGAGGGAGAAAAATTAAGGGAACAGAGAATAATGCAGTGTAGCTAGTGCAGGGTACAAGATGAGGAATGGTCTTAGATAAGCCAGAAAGACAGCCCGGAACCTGATTATGGCCATTGAAAGGAGATTGGGCTTTAATCTTAAAATGTTGAGGGCTACCAGAGTATTTTAGAAGAAAAGGGACATAATCAGACTCTGGCCCCAAGAAATTCACAGCATTGTTGAAAGGACAACACTAAAGCACAAGGAGCACTTAGGCGGTGTTTCAAGGTACTATTTAATTGAGTTAAAATTGTGATGCTGACTATAATTAGATTTGAGGTTATTAGGGACAGTTCCTTAGAGAAGGTGATATTAAGATGGACCATCAACAATGAATAGAATCTGGAGGAGGATTTCAGTCAGGGAAAACAGCAAAAGCAAAGAGGCAGAAGTATGCAGAAAATAATAAACAGTGTGTGACCTGTTGGAGAGTGGGTGTGGAAGAGAAATGGGAGATAAAATTGAATTGGTAAACAGGAACCAGTTTATGAAGAAGCTTGTAAGAGGAATTTGCACTTGCTGAGATAAGCAGAGAGATCCATTGTAGGGCCATATGTAGAAAGTTGATATGATGAAAGCAGTATTTAAGGAAATTTAATCTAGTAAGGATGCTTTGGAGGTGAAAAACCTGACGTTGGGCTAGTAGACTCACAGTGATAGTACTAAAAATGTACAGTAAGGGCAAATCTGAGAGACAGTTCAAAGGGAGAAAACAGTTGAGCAACAGGTTGGATATAAGGATAACAGGACAGAACAAATTCGATAATTCCAAGGTTCCTGAGAAATGACAGTGTGGTATCACTGGCAATAAGTCACTTGGGAATGAGGGTCCTTTGGGAGGTAGCCATTTCTAAAGCACTCACCATAAGAAGTGCATTTCCTTATTAGTAGGACCCTATATTCTACAACTTAGTCTCTTTCTTTCCCTGCTGTAATTCGACTTGACTTTATAAAATAAAGCCAGCATGGTATGATGGAAACAACACAGGCTTTGGAGCCAGACTGTCCTGACTTTTATTCTGTCTCTACCTACCAAAGTTTTTTTGAGAAAATATTACTTATTTTGCCCAAACCTCAGGGATAAAGAGTTCAAACTTCTAGATTTTTACCAGGATTCAGTGAGATATGTAAAATGCTTCATATATGATAGGTGCTTTGTAAATGTTGGTCCCTTCCTCTAAACATAATGCTTTAAATATATGCTACAACTAACACAAAGAAATCCACCCCCCTGTGGTTGCTCTAGTTATAGCGAGGTCTTTACTGGGATTTACAATTTGTTACTTTTTACTCTTTATTAAGATTTCCTCTGAAAACATCATCAGTTTGAAAATCATGAAGATTCTATTTGCTTTATATTTATGAAAAGTACTTCTGTCAACACTGAATTTTATCCCTGTGTTCTTAAATCCTTTCAAAGAACTTTTAGGCTGATTTTATTATTTTTTTAATTGTATTGAATTCTAATTCTTAAATAGATGATATAAGTTCTTGGTGAAAGAGGTATGTAGTAAAAACTCAGTCTGTTACTAGTCTCACATGCATCCTGACAGTTATTCTGTATATGCACAAGTCTGTGTGAGTGTGTGTATCTCCTTCTCTCTTTTTTAAATTCAAATGATAACATACTGTACACATAGTTCTGCATTTTGCTTTTTCACTTAACCGTGTATCTCATACTGTTCCAGATCAGAACCTAAACACTCATTCTTTTTAATCACTAAGTAGTATTCCTTTATAAAGATGTATCGCAGTCTGTTTAATTTGACCAACTTACTTGAACCAGTACTTACTAATAACAGTTTGCAGTTTTGTGGGCCTAATAGAAGTATTCCTATGAAAACTTTTTATTTTTTCCAAGAAAATAAATTTTCTTTTCTTATTAAATAAAAACAAAATTTTGTCCCGTAGTTAAATGTAAATTTCCTTGTTTCTTTATCTTTTATTTTTCCCTTTGAAACAATAGAACCAAACTTAACCACTAGCCAGTTTTAGTATCTTTATTTGTATCTCTCTACCATACAGAAAGCAGTTAGACAAGGTTACTATAATTTCCTTGCCTGAAACCTTATTTCTTGTTCACTTTAAAAGAAAAAAATAGATACTTTAAAATATGAATTCCATTTGTGATCCACTTTATATTTTAAAAAGTTATCCTCTGAAGGTTTTCTTGCCATGTTATTAGGGTTTTACAGTGAGCAGTTGATTTGGACTCCCCCTCCATAAAGGATTTCTTTGGCAACATGATTTAAATAGTCTATAAAGGGAGCTTTTGTTTGATAATGAGTACATGCCAGGGCCCTGACCCCTAGATGGTTATAGCATTCCTTGGCTTGACCTTAGATGATAATATGTCATGAAATAATGAATTGAAGTTTTTGAGTAGAGATGGCATTTGCTTTATTGAATAGTAACTATATCATGATGAAGGAAAAAAATACATATATTGCTAAAAATTAACTTATATAAATTTACTGCCACTTCTAACCAGTTATCCTACAGGCTAACAAAAATTTGATTTAGAAGAATTTTCACTAGAACCAAACTGCAATGTACTATCATTAAAACATATCTATAGCCTTGGAAAAGACTCATTTGATTAGTGAGGAAGATTTTTTTTTTCATGCCATGAAGAGAAATATCTTCAGAAAGTAAGCAGTTTTTCCCCATTGTGTGTCATGTCATAGCTTTTCATTTAGAAGGAAGAACTAGTCTGTTTTTATATCCTTCTTTCCTGACCTTGGGTAAAAGGCCTTAAATCATCCTATTAAAGATATAAAGACTCAATAAATACTTCTTAGAAAAATTAAGAAGAAGAGTTCTGTTTGAAGCAGTATAGAGTAGTGGCTAAGAGCTTGGGACTTTGATGGCTTGGGTTTGAAAATTATAACCAGTCTTAGTCTTTTTGTCTGTAAAATGGGGAAAAATTACAGTACTTACCTTAAAGATTTTTGTGAGGGTGTAGTAAGCTAGTACATGTAAAGCACTTAATATGGTACCTGGTACTTAAAACATTCAATAAGTAATAACTGTCACATTATCCATATTATTACTTGATGATACATTCTGTTTTCTGTATGACATCTAGGATATTGTTTTCTAATCTACTCATCACCTCAGATCTCTCTCTCCCTGATTTCAGAAGGGTTTTTTGCTTCTCATTAAAATCCTAAGAAAATTGTTTGGGACACATTGAGGTGACAATTTTACTTTCACCAATTAAGAATAAAAGTGATCATTTTCTCTCTAAACCAACATTTAGCCAGTGTGCAGACAGTGTTGACCAGCAGAAGACCTACAGCAAAGCTAAATTTTATGTTGACTAGTCATTAAAGAAAAGAATACTGACTCAGATGTATTTACCAGTCAGTGGAATTGGGTCCTGCCTACTTTCTATCATTTTTTCTAGATAAGCTCTTTATAGTCCCACAACAGTGTTCTCTCAAACTGTTAGACTCATTTTTTTTTATCATATCAGCATGTTGAAGGCTTCTGCCAATTTCCTCTTATTATTCTAATCTGCTGGATTATTAATGCTAGTCATTGATGATTTTACTACATTAATATGATAGTAGATAACAAGGTAGAGTTCCTGTTCTTTAGGTTAAATTAAAACAAAAAATAAAGACTATTTTTAGTTGCTGACTTCATCTGTAATTTATACAGTGGTATAACTAAGTCATTATAAAAATTTGTTCTTGTTGTGCTGCTTCATCATAATTTTGGTAGAAGAAAACAGAAAAGTTGCCCCAAACAATGGAAGGATCTTTAAATATCAGAAAAGAATTGTTTTTTAATTGATGTTTTTTGAGTGAACATTAGCCCCTTTTTGAAACTTGACCTTCAGAGACTGTGTTTTTGCTTTTCTTTTCCTATTCCTTGATTAGGCATATATGAATATTAGAATTCAGTGAATTCTCTGTTTGAATCCTATCTTCTTAAGAGGACAGTAGTTTTCTTTTGCTCTTTACTCGGCCATTGTTATGTGAAATATACTTTTCTCTCTTGAAAGTCTCAAGGCTTATGGAAAATTTCATAAGAAAAGGAGAAACCAGAAGTTCATTATGTAATTCACTCATATTTCCAACATATAAATACCACCATGTAGCAGATACCTGCTGTGTAATTAGAAGTCTCTCGGATTGTTTTCTCTTCTCTGGTTAGTACACTGGAATCTCAATATAACATACACCACTGTTGGTCAAGTTGATGAGTCAAGTAGCCATGAGTGAAATGTTCAAAATTAAGTCAGAGGATAGGGCGCCTGGGTGGCTCAGTCGTTAAGCGTCTGCCTTCGGCTCAGGTCATATTCCCAGGGTCCTGGGATCGAGCCCCGCATTGGGCTCCCTGCTTGGCGGGAGGCCTGCTTCTCCCTCTCCCACTCCCCCTGCTTGTAGTCCCTCTCTGTCTGTGTCTCTCTCTGTCAAATAAATAAAATCTTTTAAAAAAATAATAATAACTCAGAGGATAACATGGGATCCAGGCAGACAAAAATGCCCTTCCTCTTCAAAAATTTAAATAGCTGAAAGAGAAGAAAGAACTCAGCTTGTACCTACATGTTTCCTTTCATGAGGAAATAGATAAGCCTAGCTGAAACAATGACCTGAGTCATGGTTGGGTCCTAAGGGATCAAAAGTAAGCAAAGTAATCTACTCAAAGTAATCTTGGATCAGATCTGAGCCACATCCTCAAGGGAGAGCTAAGAGTCAAGCCAGGGACTGTAAATACCAGCACCAGATCTCAAGGAAGAGAAGTGGATTCTTTAATGAGAAAAAGCCAAGAGTCGAGATACAAGTGAAAGTAGTTAGAAAGGGAGCAAGTAAGAAGGGTACAAGCTGATTGGGGCAGTCTTTGTCCCTATACCAGTTTTGTGGTTTTATACTTACTTGAGAATCTCAGATTTGCTGAAAAATATAGAAATTGAGTAGATTTAAGGTAAAAAGAGAGTGATCCCAAGGGCAGGAATTGAAACATTGTGCCTATAAAAAAAAGTGGCAACAGAGATCCCAGATGGATGTTTTAAACTTAGGCTAAGTTGATGAGAGACATAGGAAATAGGGTATTCTTATTATGGTAGAAACTAGTGGCAAATTTGAACAGGTATTCTAAATAGTCTGTATTTTGTGATTACTGTGGAAAGGGTACTGCAAAAGAAAAAAAAGTAAGGAAATTCTTATGACTGCAGGGTTTAAATCTAAAGAAGAGAAATATCTTCCCTTTTGATTCCTTAAAGATGATGCTAGTGAAATATTCACCCAGAAAAGCAACAATAGAAATCCTACCCAGAGAACTTCCTACTTGAGAGCCACCTGGGAGGTTCCCCATGTCATCATAGTCCTCTTTGGTGTGAACAGAAGAGTTCTTAAACATTAAGCCTGGTTGTTGTGAAGTATTAAAAAGATAAGGTATGTGAAAGTATCTGATAAGTTGTAAAGTTCCATTTGGATGTGTGTCCTCAGACTCTAGTGCCCTCCAAGGCTCTTGCCAGTCTTTCAACTCAACCCATTTCTTTCTCTGATTTCCATATTCCTGTTAAGAGCATCTCCTCCTTTAGTCTCCCAGACTAATTCTAACATGTACTGATGCTTTAGGGCCTTTTTCATGAAGTCTTTCTTGATTCCTCAGCAACCAGATGTACTTTTCTTCACTCTGTGTCCCCTTCCCCGCGTTGTGCTGATTCTCGGTTTCTGTTTCTTGTTTTGTTTTTTGCATACATATGTTTCTGTTATAATACCACATGTGTTTTCCTGAAAAACCTCCAGTTCTGCAAAATCATGTACTAAAAATAAGTATTACAGGAAAATAGGATTATAAGCAGGTCACTTAAAATCCACGCAACTAAAAAAAATCTATATAACTTTGTAATCAAAGCCCTAATAAAAATAGTGAAAATCCTAATAAAAATATTAGCACAGTTAAATCTCCACAGACATTTGTACCTAGAAATATATTCAGTCCATCCTTTGTAGCCTTCCTTATTCCTGGGGCTCACATTTTATTCTTCAAGATGTAAGGTCAGAAAAACTTTTGCTTCTCATACAAACTAGTTTCACCAAAATTAAAAATACAATATGGGGATATCAGTCAGTTTTTGGCTGTCATTTTGTTTGCTTTTTAACTCAGAGAAATTTCTTCACATCCTTTTCATTTGCACTTGCCCTTTCCCCATATTGCTTAATACAGTGGACAATACAACAGCTCTTAAAGCTACAAAACCAGCTACTTCTTGCAGAAAACTCTTGTGTAGGATTTACATCCTTTTTTCTTAACATGGTGTTTAAAGCTTCCTCTTAAAGAGGAAGCTTGGCCCTATTCCCTTCTTAATACTAACATGCTGGAAAAACTACATATAAGCCATTATACCTTCTGTGTTAAACTGACACCATTCCCATATTTAATGATCTCATAGAGTTAAAGTGCATTCAAGAAATGTGTTTTGTAGCAGAATAGGCTGTAATTGTTTCATTCCCCTTCACCTCCTTGTCTGTGAACTCACTGAGGACAGAAACTGTGTTTAACTCACCTCTATATCCCCTCCAGTGCCTGGCATAGTGCCTTATGCTTAGAGGGGGATCACAGTGTAGTTCTTGGCTTGAATTAACTTGTTCTGTTGCATAATAAGCATAAATACGTACTATGGGGAAGTTCCTTAATATGAGAATTGACAAAACCTAAATGATTTTGTCCAGCTTCCTCTGCAGTCAATACCTGCCCTCTTAAGATCACAAGTGTTCAATTTAGAGATTACATTCTTTACATACTCATATCTCTGAAAGGCATGTAGAAACATATTGGTACATCTGATGCTTCTTGGACATTAAGCCCAGTCCTCCTACATAAAACTCTACCAACTTGTCTCCATTTCATTGGTCAGTCACTAACGCTAAGCAACAGTTTTACAAGTCAACGGGTCAGTTCTGTTGTGTGCTGTGTTGATTGAAATGGTGGAAATAGTATATGTTCCTTGTTTCAGCAAGGAAACTGCAACCTTTCCCACATGAGACCATAGACCATCTCATCAAAGGAAAGAAAGAAGGAACTATCCGTAGTTAAATTCATTTTTGTCCTAGAGCAATTGCAATGGGAAACTCTTGTCTTAGGCAAAGGCATTTAATTTTCTGTAGTTGAAACAATTGCTAAACCTATAACCTGTACATTGCCATCGTAGTAATCTTAAGTCATGAACTCAGATGCATCACTGCCATTCATTAGACTTACTAGACTTAAGATCTTATACATCACTCAGGTGAAGGGGAGATAAATACCAGCTTTTTGTTTTTTCAGAATGTAAAGAGGCTCCTGCAGAACCCCAAAGTGACAGAGTTTGATGCTGCCCGCCTGGTGATGCTTTATGCTCTACATTATGAGCGACACAGCAGCAATAGCCTACCAGGTCTAATGATGGACCTCAGGAATAAAGGTGTTTCTGAGAAGTATCGAAAGGTAACCAAATTTATATATTAATCCCACCAAACAGCTAGCAACTCTATTATTATATTCTTAGTTCTGACAAATCATACTGCTTTTACTTACAGAAGTGTATAATTATGTCCTCTCATGTCTTCATTTCCTTAATAAAGGTATTTTCTTATGAAATGAGTTTCCTGATCCCCAAGCAATAAGAGGTGGTTCTCTTTTTTCCTAATAGCTTGTGTCTGCAGTAGTTGAATATGGTGGTAAACGGGTCAGAGGAAGTGACCTTTTCAGCCCCAAAGATGCTGTGGCTATTACCAAACAGTTCCTCAAAGGATTGAAGGTATGGCATGTCCTCTCTACTTTACTAAATTAGAAACAGTGGAAGCCCCTGCGGCTGAGAGTGAATAAATAAGATCTTCAAAGTCACTTCAGGATTGCTGCTGATTTAGTACTGTGTCAATTAAATGAAATTAAAGCTTTTTCTTCAAATGCTTTCTATATGGGAGCAGCATCAGCATTGGATCGAGCAGCTGAACAGGGAATAATAGAAAATTTCCAGGAAATACCCCAGAGTAAAACAGACAGTTCTGTTAGTTATAGCTGTTTTACTCCATTTCTTTATCATTAAGATTTGTTTGGTTGTTTTTCTTCGAAGGAAATTAAAGGTGAAGCAAACAACTATAGATCTTTTAAAATTACTATTTTCTTAAAATGGTAAAAAAAATTAGTTTTAATCTGCAAGCCTTTCTTATGTTTCCTGAAATGTTTCCATTTACCTGAGTGTTTCTTGACTCCTTTTCTATGTGGTCTTTTCCTCTTATTTGCTCTATCATATAACATTTTCACAAAAGGATAAGAATCACTGAAAAGTGATAAAGGATTTAAGCAATTCCATTTTTGAAATTCTTTTATAATAGCTAGGCTTAAGTTACAAAGTATTTTTATGAGATTAGAACATTTCTAATTGATGAAAAGAAATTTTTAAATTATTTAACTGGAAAATTCCCATTTGAATCTATCCCATGAAATCCCTATTGAGTGCATGTCCTTTTCTGATGAGTATCATTAACTGTTATATTGCAAGTTCCCCCAAAATGATATAAGAATCATCTTCCCCTCTCTTAGGGAGTAGAAAATGTGTATACTCAACATCAACCTTTCCTACATGAGACCCTGGACCATCTCATCAAAGGAAAGCTTAAGGAAAACGTGTACCCTTATCTAGGCCCCAGCACACTCAGAGACAGGTAAGGTAACTAAGATATTAATAATAAAAACCAGAGGGCACCTGGGTGGCTCAGTCGTTAAGCGTCTGCCTTCAGCTCAGGTCATAATCCCAGGGTCCTGGGATCGAGTCCCACATCGGGCTCCCTGCTCGGCGGGGAGCCTGCTTCTCCCTCTCCCACTCCCCCTGCTTGTGTTCCTGCTCTTGCTATGTCTCTCTCTGTCAAATAAATAAATAAAATCTTAAAAAAAATAAAATAAAAAATAAAAACCAGAAACACTAAGAAAATAGGAAATGTGGAGCGTTGTAAGAGACAACAACTAAGATGATATTGCTCTACTCCTCCTCCTGTTTTTTCAGTTCTGAGATTCTTTTGGTTTTACATGTGTCAGGGTTAGATATAAATTCACCTACTAAGCCTGCAAGATTATTTCTTTTGGAATAAGGAAACAGGTGTTTTTGAAGTGTCCCGTATACTTGTATTTTGTCCTTTGGTATCAGATGAGTTTACTTATGCCATTTAAGGTTCAGTTCCATGGCATTTAACATTTGGAGTTTCAAGCATTAACGCCAAAAATAGATTTGCTGCTTGGTTGCCATCCAGAGCAGGTTGTTACTATTTTTGGTGAGGACTGGACTTTGCCAAATGTGGCCAGCATAGGAACTGAGACCTAATTAACAGAGGCCATTTGTTACACAGAAGCAAAGGATGGCTTGCTTTTGGGGTGTTAACCGAAGGAAGCAATTAATCGTCATTTTAATCCAGTGGTCTGTTAGTTTTAATAAAAACAAAACTCGTCCAGATCAACTTACTTATTAGATCAACCTGAAATTTTAAATATACACAAAATCTACTTTGTTATAAATTATATTCTTGTGTATTTTTTACTGGGACCACATATTATAAAGAACCTAATATATGTAATGGGATAGATTGATGTGCAAATTGTTACTATTGGTAGACTTCTTCAATTATTTCAGCTAATCATAACCTAAGAGTCTTGGAAGAATAGTGTTTTATAAATAAACTTCTGAAAGGAAAAAGATGACTCTTTTATATGATAAAATATATTTTTTTTCCATTTTGTTCCTTTAAAAAAAAAAATCTCTGTAATTTGGTAACAGAACAGAAAAGAAAGATCTTTTAAAAAATCCAAGGTTGGGGGCACCTGGGTGGCTCAGTCGTTAAGCGCCTGCCTTCGGCTCAGGTCATGATCCCAGGTCCTGGGATCGAGCCCCGCATCAGGCTCCCTGCTCCACCAGAAGCCTGCTTCTCCCTCTCCCACTCCCACTGCTGTGTTCCCTCTCTCACTGTCTCTCTCTCTCTCTGTCAAATAAATAAATAAAATCTTTAAAAAAAAAAAAAAATCCAAGGTTGAGAGGCAGAATATCTGGGGTTAAATTCAGACAGTACATTCATTCAGATAAAATGTTTAAGGACCTTTTCAGAAATGTCAGCTAAGTGGAAAGAATGCAAACCAGCCTAAAGCTACTTACCTATCTTAGAGGCTTTTTGAAAAACAGTATAACTCTATTAAATGGCCTTCTAATTAGTATGATAAAAGTAAAAATATTACTTTTTTATGAATTTCATATAAGAATTATCAATCAATTAGCTATTTATTGCTAAAGAGACACCATAGACCACCAGAAAAGTATATTGTGTATGATTAGTTCATAACAGCAAACCTTTCTAATTTGGGTGATTCATTTCCGAACAAAGCTCAGAATGATGCTTTTCCAACAAAATGCACATTTATCAGTTGTCAGCATCTGTTAGCATTTGTCACTATTACCTAAATACAAATTTAGTTAATAATTCTATTGCTGCATCCTTTTATATAACAAATATTTATTGAGTGTCTTCAATATGTCAAAAACTGTTGTAAATGCTGGAGAAATAGAACAGGAAAGACAAGTTACCTGCCCTTAAGGAACTTACATGAAGGAGACAGTAAGCTAATAAATAAAGACTATAATTTGAATGAGATAAGTGCTGTTGAGGAAATAAATAGTGTAATAAGCTACAAAGTAACTTTGTAGAGGTGACGGGGGCTGCTTTAAATGGAGAGAACCTCTCTGAGGAAATGCTATTTAAAATGAGCTTTGAAGGGGCACCTGGGTGGCTCAGTTGGTTAAGCGTCTGCCTGCGGCTCGGGTCATGATCCCAGGGTCCTGGGATTGAGCCCCACATCGGGCCCCACATCCGGCTCCTTGCTTGTCGGGGAGCCTGCCTCTCTCCCTCTCCCTCTCCCTGCTACTCCACTTGCTTGTGCTCTTCTCTCTCTGTCAAATAAATAATCTTTAAAAAAAAAAAAAGATTACAAGACAGAGCCAATCACATAACAATTAAGAGAAAAAGCATCCCAAGCAGAGGGAACACTGGAGCAAAGGCCTTGAAGAGAGAACTTGGCAAGTTCATGGAACGGAAAGAAACCCAGTGTGGTTGGGGCATAGTGAGTAAGGAGGAAATAAGTTGAAAAAATAAGTAGGAGCTGGATTACATAGGGTCTTAAGAAGGGTTTTAAATTTTAAATGTCAAAGGAAACCATTGAAGAGCTTAGCATGTAAGTGACATGAACTGAATTACTTATTAAAGGATCATCTTCTAGGGAGAATTGATTTTTTTTTTTTTTTTGAGAATGGATATTTGAAGGCAAAAACAGAAGCAGGGAGACTACTTAGGAGGCAGTTGTAATAGTCTGGTTAAGGGATGAAAGAGGTTTGGATAAGGAGGCTGGGAGAGAAAGAATCAATAGACTTATTTAATGGAGTTATCTACTCCACTAAAGAGCTTGTCTACTCTTACCCTCTTACCACAGAATAAGAGAGAAGTGAAGAATAACTCTCAGGTTGGGGTGGGGGGCAATCAAGTTGTTAAGTTGCAGATGCCTATAACCAAGTAGAAATGGTGGCTAATAAATTGGGAGTCAACAAGATTTTGGTGATATTTAAAGCTATGGGATATAAGATATATAAGATCACTTAGGGAGAGAGCATAGAAAGAAAAGAAGAGAGCCTAGGACTGAGGATTGAGTGGAAGACATGGAGCCAGATATGGAGACTGAGGAGGAGGAGACTTAAAGATAGAAAACCAGGAGAGCATAGTGTCATACAGACCAAGAAGCAAGTGGTAACCTGAGTGTAGTCTTCTGAGAGGTAAAGGTGAAAACAGTGAAGACTCCATCAGATATGGCAACACGAAGGTCTTTGGTGACCTATTCCCAGTTTCCAGGAGATTAGAAACCAAATTAGGGTTACGGGATGTAAGATAAAATAGAGACAACAAATGTATATAACACTTTTTTTTTTTTAAGATTTTGTTTATTTATTTATTTATTTGACAAAGATAGCAAGAGCAGAAACACAAGCAGCGGGAGTGGGAGAGGGAGAGCAAGCTTCCCTCAGAGGAGGGAGCCCGATGTGGGACTCGACCCCAGGACCCTGGGATCATGACCTGAGCTGAAGGCAGATGCTTAACGACTGAGCCACCCAGGCGCCCGTATATAACACTTTTAAAGAAATTTTGTATGAAGGTGTCAGAGAAATGGGATGGTAGCTAGGAGAGAGTGTGTACTTAAGGGAAAGAGATTCTAGAGCATATCTGATGAGATTGTAATCTAATGACAATTACCCTAAAGAAAGAAAAGTCAAAAATGCTGAAGAGAAAGAGGAAGAACTGCACAAGTCTTCGGGGGTCCAGAGCATAAGCAGAGGAGCCTTTGATAGAAACAGAGCTACTTTTTTCTTTTTAACAATTTTGATGGTGAGAATATGGGACCATCTAAGCTGATTGCTTCTGTTTTCTCAGTAAAATACGATGTCAAGTTATCAACTGAGGTAGTGGGTAAAAAGAGAAAACATTGTGAAACTGTCATCTTGCAGGCCAGGAATCAGATTTACTGGGGAAATGTAAGTAGGACTTCTAGCAAAATTGAGTGCCCGTTAGAGTTTTATGGTCATTAATTTAAAATAGAGGGGCACCTTGGTGGCTCAGTCGGTTAAGCGACAGACTCTTGATTTCAGCTCAGGTCATGATCTCAGGGTCTTGAGATCAATTCAAGCCCCAAGTGGGCTCCACACTCAGTGCGGAGTCTGCTTGTCCCTCTCCCTCTGCCCCTCCCCTCTCTTTTTCTCTCCCCCCTCCCAAATAAATAAATAAAACCTTTAAAATAGACCCCGTGAGCCTAGTTGTGTGGTTTTCTCCAGCAACTTTTGGCTGTACTAGATTAAATGAGGATAAGGCTGGCAGCTAGGCCCAACCTGGATTTGGGGAATTGAAAACAGAAGGAGGGTATTGGATGGTAAATAAAGTATTGTTGAGTGAATTAGTGGTCTTGATGAGGTCCAAGAATTATTATAGTAGAAGTATTAGTGTAAGTTAATTAGAAGTTGAGGAGGTTGTTGTTGGAGAAAGAGATCTTGAATGCAGGATTTCACAATGCAGATACTTAAAGTGAAAGATTTAGGTTATAATCATGGATGTTGGTTATGAGGGATGGAAGAGCACATCATCCTGGGTGAGAAGACCAGGATGTGAGATGAGTAATCCACATGGATGTGAAAGTAACTGAAAATCCTGAAAGGAACAGCAGTGAAAAGGAGGACAGTAAACCAGAGCTAAAGTCTTCAGGGAATAAGAGAGTGACCAGGAAAGGAGGTCAGGAGAAAACAGTGTAACCGCATCATGGGCTTCTAACATAACGGAGACATTGAAGAAGGCAGAGAAGTTGGTTCCGAAACAACAGGACAGGGCACAGAAGATACCTACGCCACCTTCTGGCCCTGCTTAACAGCAGGTAGACTGCAGAGGCCTTGAAAAGACCTACTGAACATTCTGCTTCTAAAAGTTTGCTGTCTAGATATATTGTGCAAGTACAAAAAGACATATAAACACGGATAGTTACCGAAACATTATTTGTAACAGTTAAAAAACAAAAAACAAAACAGAAACAGGCTAAATATCCATCAATAAAGGACTGGTTACCTAAATTATAGTACAGTGCTATGCATTCTTAAAAA